TACGACGCGCGCGCGCGCGCGCGCGCGCACACACACACACACACACACACACACACACACACACACGCACGCAACATGAAAGCACCCGCCGCGAGCGCGCGCGTCATTCGTTGCACGTTCTGCAACGTGGGTAGTCCGCACTTGGTCGGACCAGCTTCCAGATGAGCAATGCTGGACGGAATGCGGAATACATCGGGAGCGAACTGGCATTCCTACTTAAATCAACATAACTCGGGTGATGAATGGTTAACAGGGTTCGGTTGGTGAGGAAGGGGCGGGGAGGATGGAGAAGGGGGACGTGCAATGCGCTCCATTTATGGAAGCTATTACGGCCGAATTTCAGCGTTAAATGTATGATTTATGGCCGGGCGTATTATCTTCGTTCATGTCCGTCGACGATACAGTGCACGCGTCCCACCGCCGCGCTCTTCCCCCTTCCCTTTCCCTGTTGACCCCCTCATACCGCCTGCCGTCCCTCCCGCCCCCGCCCAGAAAATTACTTCGCATTCGGCCGGTGGCGAATGAAAAATCCACCGCCGAGTGTCCGCTTCGTTGACAGTGCCACTGTGATTAATGCATTTCTGATTGTTATTCGTAATACTCTGGAATTTATGGCCCATTAGAATCGCGAAATAAAGTGCGAGCGGCCGGCCGACCGAACTCGCCCGAAATCGCTTCGTCCGCGCGAAGATGATTCGCGACAATACTTAGTTTCGGGTTTCGCGGCGAATTTTTCCGAGAGTTCGAGTAAGCGCGCCGGTGATAATGGAAATTTTAAGCGTATTTAAAGTTGTATGGCGCCGCGGCGATGCGGAATGAATAATGAAAAGGAAAGGCGGAAGGTAGATATCCGCGAAATATGCACGCAAGCGCGCGGGGTGGAAAGAGAAGACGGGGAGAGAGGGGGTAACGGAGGGCCCGTAATCTTAATTGAATATAGTTAAGCCGCTTTGCGTTTTACCGTTAATACATATCTGACGTCTTTCGTCCCATTTTCCTGTGCGGGGCAGGCACCTCCGACGCCTCCTACGAGACGCAGGGACCCAGCTTCGTCACGGAGCCGCCGTCCAGGGTGGAGTTCACCAATGTGAACGGCGGCCGGGTGGACTGCACCGTGCGTGGAAATCCTCTGCCGACCGTCGACTGGCTCGCGGCGGACGGCGGCAGCATAACGAACATCCTCGGCATCAGGCACGTCCTCGGCAACGGGACGATACACTTCCCCGCGTTCGAGGCCGAGGCCTTCCGGCAGGACGTTCACTGGGCCATTTACAAGTGCTCGGCCGTCAACAGTGTCGGCGCGGTCGTTAGCAGAGACGTCACCGTCAGAGCAGGTATGTCAACCCCCTCTCCCCCCCTCTCAGCGAAACTTGTCGAGCTCGTTATCTGCGGTCCGCTTCTCTCCGCCGTATTATTCTCTCGTCGTGCCGTGTCGCGCCATCCTGACGACCCCCGACATCGTCGTCGTCGTCGTCGACGACGTGTCCTCGTCGTCGTATCCCACGCACGTAGGTGGTGGTCGTAGGCTCACCGGAGCGTGCGCGCGCGTCTATCCGCGAGCGGACTCGCGCTCACGAAATTCGATCGACCCTTCCGGTTGGTCCGCGGCCCGGAGACGAGATGAAACTTTCTTCTCGCGTACGCGTTCGCGTGTCGAATCGACGGATCGTAGTCGACGAGTTAAGTAACCGGGGTCCCGCCGTTTCTCGGGCCGTCGCCGGCGGGATCCGAGACGATAATGGAATCGCTGTCGAAACCGCAGCCTTCTGTTCTGTCGAAGGAAAGGCACGGAGGAAATTTCGGAAGTTGCGATTCTGAATTATGCATACTCGGAGAGATATGTGTGTTGGGAATTATATAATTTTGTATTACTCTGTACTCTGTACTCCGTTCTCCCGTCGCGGCAGAAATCTGGAAAGATAAACGAATAACCGAGCCAACTGTCGAAATCAGTTCCATGTAAAAAAAAAACTTAATATATTCAAGCGTAACTTTAGGATTTAAATGCTAATGAATTAAAAAATTGCGTTAAATAAATTTAAATAACGGGACTTTGAGTTTTCGCGGCGAGCGGAAGAAGAATCGAGATTTGATTTGAACGGATAAATGATCTGATTGGAATTTTTAATATTCTCGGAAAATCTCTTTTCGCGTACGTAAACGAATATTTGCATACAAGAATCTTCAATATTCATTCGCGTGGCAAAGAAAATATAGATTTGGCGGACCGTGGCTCGATAGAATATTAGAAATTCTGCGTCGAAAGTGCGGCACTTAGTCACTGAAATCACGTTTGCGGAAGGGAGAGATCCGTCTACGGATTCTTTTTGCTCGGCGACGCGATAGCTTCCAAAACTCGCGTCTACAAGAGTATCGAAGTAGAAGACGGCGAGAAAAGAGAAAGAGGCTGGGACGGGTAAATGGAGTAAAAGGAGGAGGCCGCGGGAGGCGCCTTAAAAATAGAGCTTCCGCCGGGTCAACGAACCGGAAGATATCTTATCGACCTAATACGCCCGTAAATCATCGTCGCGTGAACGCAGCCCATACCTTTTCAGATTCATGCCTGGTGCCTCTGCCGCGTCAGCTCCTAGTATCCGCCTCAGCCATTTCCTTTTTGCTCATCTCCTCCACGGTTTCATCCTGCCTTTTCCTTGCCTCGCTTCGCCTTCCTTCGTCTCGTCGTCGCTCCACGCCCGGCTTCAGCGGCGCATCCTTCCGTCGTCAAGAAAAATCTTTTCGGGCGCGCACCCCCTATTCTTGGAAACAAAATGGATATGATTGCGTGCGCGATCACTCGAGCACGTTGCTGGTTGCCGCCGGAAATGTCGCCTTTTTCGTTTTCGTCCGTCACTCCCGGCAGCTGCCGCGCGTAATCGTGGCGCTTTGTCAAAAAATGGAGAGTGGCAGAGGGAGATACACCGCCATGCGGGTTACTTTGTCACCGTAAGAAAGACAACTTTCCAACCCGGTAAAGAAAGCTTTCCGTAGGAAAAGGAATTGGTCTCTGAAGAAACGGTCCTTCTCTCAATTTCTACGCAAAACTCGCGGCTTATCTCGCGGCTTATTTTTCCGCCGGCTAAAAGATTCTAATGACGATACCCATTACGTTCGTTGTTCCGCTACGCGAGATTCGACCAAAACATCCCCTCGAAGGGGCAACTTCCATCATTCAGTATTTTCCCGCAGAGTTACGAGACAAACAAGCCATTAGTCTTGCCGTTACTTGACATATTTCATCATTGATCGCCACGGACGATATAAGACAAACGACATGAAGGATGACGAGAGATGGCAGAAAATAACTGTCACTGGGGCATCGTTTGCAAACAAGTTCATGCTCGAGCTTGTTTGGAAGTACATGCTGCTCTCCACGACGTGCACGGTATTCGCATAATAAGCTGAAAAAGCTGTACAGAAAAATCCAGTCTATGTAGAAAGAGCAATTTTGCT